CACTGAGCCACCTGGGAAGCCACATGCTTCCAGATGCAGCATCAAACTCTCTGAGCCCTTAAGAGGGAGGAGAGGCTCAGAGGCCTCCATTCAACCAGTGAGGGTGGTGATCCAGGCTCACCCAGCGTGATTCCATGAGAACACGTTCATGGGCTCACTTACAAGGTCCAGTCCCCAACTCCCTCCACGGTTGTCACAAAGGCCAACTCAGTGCAATTACATTCCAGACCCCAGAAATGAGGGATGGTTCGAATCAGGCAATGGTGATGGTCAAGAGGAGGGGGAGGAGAGGGATGAGACGACGGAGCGGGGAGAGGCAGCAGAGAGGGGCTGGAGGAGCAGGGAGGTGAGGGAAGAAATAACATCTATAATAGGATTACCTACCACGTGCCAGACACGGTGTGAGGATTATCCCTAATCCTCATATCAACCTTGCCAGAATGGTACTAAACCCCTCTATCAGGAAATTAGGCCATGGGGAGATGGACACTCTGAAGGCCATACAACTATTATATGGTTCGGGATTTGAACCTAGGTTCGTTTGACCCCTATGGTGTTGCTTTTTCCACTACAGCAATCTGTCTCCCAGAGACAGATTTCAGCAACCACGGTAACACCCAACATTTTGAAAAGGGTCGCCACCAACATTGCAACTTCTTTAATAATTTCGAGGGGAATGAATTCCCCTATGAATAATTTAACCCCAAGGTCATCAGAGCACACCATGGGTTCCTACTGCAAGTACTAATACTGCAAATGGCCGAACAGTATTATAAACCTGACTTGTTACATAGATACTCATGACTAAAACAAACAAAAAATAAACACACTTGCATACAGTATTAAAATAAATTGATTCAATATAGATTTTTATTTTGCAGACTTTCTTGGTGTATTTGCCATTAATCTTCTGGGAGCACTTAGCTTATTTACTCCAGGAGTTTTGCTGTTTATTTAATTGTATCAAACATTTAATTAAAAGAGCTATCTGCTTGCTGCTAACGCTCTGAGCATGGAAGCTGAGCCATGTCTCATGAGGATACAGTATCTGTTACTAGGTGTTTCCAACTCAGAGAAGGTCAGTTGAATTATTAGTGGTTCTAATTAGTTTTCCCACAAGCAGTCATGTTATTAGACCTAAAGCTAGGTAGCAAGGGATTTTTTTTTTCTCCTTGCTGTTGAAAATAGCATCAAAAAGTAAAATGCACTGCCAACTACTTTCTTTTTTCAAAAAGTGTTTATTTAATTTACTTTGCTGTGCCGGGTCTTAGTTGCAGCATGTGGGATCCAGTTCCCTGACCAGGGATTGAACCCGGGCCCCCTGTACTGGGAGCACAGAGTCTTAGCCACTGGACCACCAAGCAGTCCTTGCATGTCTGACTCTTTGCAACCCCACGGACTGTAGCCCACCAGGCTCCTCTGTCCATGGAATTCTCCAGGCAAGAATACTGGAGCAGGTTGCCATTCCCTTCCCTTCTCCAGGGGATCTTCCTGACCCAGGGATCAAAACTACATCTCCTTCAGCTCCACTACTGAGCCGCCAGGGAAGTCCAAAGAAGTCCCTACCAATTATTAATACTTTCTTGAAAAATCTTCTCATCCAGAACATGGTTTCCCACTGCTTCCAATGGTCCCCTGGTCACTTATTCTAGGAGCTATACATTTGTTCCCATATATGATGTAACTGGATCTGTAGAGGACTTCATTGGCTATGGGGAACATCTCATCAGCAGCTTCCTTTCATCCTCACAGCAACTATGATGCCCCAGTGTTCAGAGAGGAGCTAGGAGGCACAGCAAGGTTACACAACAATAAGGGCATCACGCAGCTGGTACATGGCAGAGAGGGAAGGAAACCCCTTTCTTGAGTCCAAGTAGATGGCCTTCTCTGCTGACCCCCAGATACACTTTAGGTGAGCCATACACTTAACGTGAGCCAGGGAATTGAGTGAACATGATTTATGAAGTAAGGGCTCCAGGAGAAATCAGAAAGGAAGTAGGGGAAGGAGGTTAGGGAAGGGGAGGAAGCCAGGCAAGGGTGTGACTACGGGCAAAGTCTTAACCTCAGCCTGAACCCACAGGGAGCTCGAGAGTAAACCGCACCTCGGAGTTTGCCCAGAAGCGGCAGAACAGCTGGCTTTCATATTCTCACCCTGGTCAGTCATAGTTACAGGATGGTCGATGCTTTCTCACTGCGGTGTCGGAGAAGACTCTTGAGAGTCTCTTAGAATGCAAGGAGATCAAGCCAGTCAATTCTAAAGGAAATCAGTCCTGAATGTTTATTGGAAGGACTGATGCTAACGTTAAAGCTCTGATACTTTGGCCACCTGCTATGAAGAGCCAACTCACTGGAAAAGACCCTGATGCTGGGAAAGATTGAGGGCAGGAGGAGAAGGGGGCAATAGAGGAAGAGATGGTTGGATGGTATCACAGATTCGATGGACATGAGTTTGAGCCAACTCCAGGAGATGATGAAGGACAGGGAACCCTGGTGTGCTGCAGTCCATGGGGTCACAAAGAGTCAGATATGACTTAGCGACTGAACAACAACAATAATATCCAGGCATCCACCATTTTACTGCTGCAAGATAATCACCCTCTGAAGGTCCCCGAGCCTTCATCAGCAAAGGTGAGGGTGGGCACACAGAGCCGGGCATGGGTTCCAAGGAGCCCCGAGTGGGTGCCTGCAGCGCCCAACACACCCTGCCCTTCTCATTCAGTCAGCAAGTGTGCGCTGAGCATCCGCCAAGTGTCAGAGAACCCTGCCACCCCTTCCCCCGTCTATTTTAATCTCATCAGTATCCTCTCCTTTACAGCACTTACTCCTGCCTGGAATTTCCTTGTCCATTACATTTACTCAGGTGCTGTTTATTTCTTCCTACTGGAATTTAAGTTTCACAAGACCACAAGCCCAGGCTGCCAAGTTGACCACAGTGACCAGCAAGATTCTCCCAAGAGGAGCCTGCCCTAAAACCTGGATGTCCAGGAGGATCCGGCCATGAGAATAAAGGGGAAAGAACATTCCAGGCAGGGGACCTGACAAGTGCAAGGGCGCTGTGCTGGAAACACTTGGATGTCTAAGGGACAGAGAGGGGGCCTCCGCGAGCTAGAGGGAGGGGACACCTGGGGATGGGCCAGCTAGCTCAGGGCATTGTCAGCACAATGAGGACAGTGGCATTCACTCAAGTGACATTTCTGACGGGGAGCCATCAGAGGCCAACGATTCCCGAGGGTGATGGTGCCTCTGTGACGGTGACTCACCCCAGCACCCCCGCCCCCCACCATCTCTCTGATGACAGGCTTCTCTGCACTTCGTTCAACCACCCTGTAAGTCATGGATAAGCTGTTAAAGGCTTTTCATGGGCTGATTTTCTATTCAGCGGTCTGCTGATGAATGCCGAAAGGATATATGTAGCCTTATGCCAACAAGACATGATAGTGAGATTTTATAAAGAGACAAATTATACTCGCACACAAGACAGAAAATCTTTGCAGCGCAGCAAGTCCCCACACTGCTGAGCTTAGCAAGTCAGGGTCTGCTTCCTGAGACTAAAATTCCAATAGAAGGACGTACCCAGTTTACCTCCTTTCTTCCGCCCCGTGCATTTCTGAGTAGCTACTCACACCCCACAGCCGCCGTTACATGGCACTGGGGAATGGAGAGAACAGGTGTTAACATCCCTGTCTCCCTGGTGGTGGGACACATAGACACACGAGGCAGGCCTGGAGGTGTCTCTGAGCAAACGGAACCACTGGGAAGTGACAAACCGGTCCTGTATTCCTTTTGCATCCCTTGAAGAAATTTCAGGTGAGTCAGGAGTGCTGGCGATGGGCTGATTGGTTACGTGGTGTAAAGGACCTGTCAGTTTTGTATCTGCGCAGGGCTCAGAGAAGGGCTTTGCTGGTTGCTCAGCAGTAAAGAATCTGCCTGCCAGTGCCGGAGACTTGGGTTCGATCCCTGTGCCAGGAAGATCCCCTGGAGGACTAAATGGCTCTCCACTCCAGTATTCTTGCCTGGAGAATCCCATGGACAGAGGAGCCTGGTGGGCTACAGTTTTTGAGGTCACAAAGAGTCGGACATGACTGAGCACGTTTGCAGGGCTTAGAGGGGATTTTTGTTTTCAAGTCAGAGATGAAGAATCCAAGGCAAGGAGCATGAGAGACTCATAAAAGTCATAGAACTGGGAGGTACCTATAGCCGAGAGCTTCACCCAAGATTCTCCTGGTTCAAAGTTAATGGATCTTCCTCACCATCGTCCTCTCCATGACAAGATGAGTGAAGTCGCTCAGTCGTGTCCGACTCTTTGTGACCCCATGGATTGTAGCCTACCAGGCTCCTCCATCCATGGAATTTTCCAGGCAAGAGTACTAGAGTGGGTTGCCATTTCCTTCTTCAGGGGATCTTCCCGATTCAGGGATCGAACCCAGGTCTCCCACATTGCAGGCAGACACTTTACTGTCTGGGCCACCAGGGAAGCCTCTGCCCTAAGCTGTGACTTGAGTCAGAGCTCAGAAAGCATCGTCAACACAATCATGTAAATATGAGGGATGACTACCAGGGGAAACTATGTTCCCAACTTAGATTTGGACTTTTTAAGACTTAGGAGAGCTAAGCTTAAGCTTCTGTTCCTGAAACCTTTCAAAATACACCCAATGGAGTTAAGAGGAAAAGAAAATCCCCCTAGATCTGTGCTTTAGAGTTGATGATTTGGGTGGTGGGAGCCTGATTTACTTCCTCTGTTGTTCAGTCGCTCAGTCGTGTCCGACTCTGCAACCCCATGGACTGCAGCACGCCAGGCTTCCCTGTCCTTCACCATCTCCTGGAGTCTGCTCAAACTCAGGTCCACTGAGTCAGTGATGCCATCCAACCATCTCATCCCTAGCAGCCCCCTCTCCTCCTGCCCTCAGTCGGCTCTTGGAAAACTCACTGGAAAACATCCTCTGAGCAGGGAACACTGGAGATTAACTCCTCAGGCAGAGACGAAAGCAAAGTGACCTCACCTTTTTGTCACTGAGGCCGGTCACTTGGTCCACAAACTCCTCCTGGATCATGAAAGCGGCCAGGTTGGCCGTGTAGCTGGCCAGGAAGATGACGGCGAAGAAGGCCCACACGGACACCATGATCTTGCTGGTGGTCCCTTTAGGGTTCTGCACAGGCACGGAGTTGTTAAACACCAGGCCCCAGAGGAGCCAGATAGCTTTTCCAATCGTAAAAGAAGGCCCATGGGGTGCTGCAAATGACAGGAAGGACATTCTCAGTGCATCCTCAAAACACACACTTGGGAGCGTTTGACACTGTGCACTGGCCCCAGCAACCCTGAAGGCTGTCAGAAGACAGTGTATCTCATCACTGTCCCAGGGCCACAACCACGAGTTATTTTTTCTCTAAAAATTAGCATTCTTCCCACATTTCCATATTGCTGACTTTTTGCCACGTTTCTTAAAAGAAAAGGAAAGAAAGGAAGACAGAGAGAGAGGGAGGGAGGGAGGCAGAGGAGGGAGAGAAGAAGGAAGGGAAGAAGCAAGAAACAAAGGAAGGAAGGAAGAAGGGAAGAAAGAGAAACTGATAAAGGAAGGAGGAAAGAATGAAGGGAGGGAGGGAGGAAGAGAAAATGGTTATGACAGTGCAGGCTTGAATTAGAAGTAGTGTTATGACCTGTTTTAAATGTGGATTTGATTTCCTTTTGGGGGATACACGGACGGTCTTACAAAAAAACATGTGCGTATGGGCTGATTCGGCACGCTCAGGTTGTGATATCGTATAAGAACCATGCAATTCGGAGGGACTGATGTTTGATATTCTAATCTGATTGTCCCTAGCAATGGCTCCTGTTCAAACTCAGATGTAAGATGTGCACAATGTAGAAATTAAACCAAACTAAAACGCTCTCCAAACAGAGACGTTAAGGAGAGGAACAATAGCGCTTAATTCTCCTGACACTTCACAGATAGGAGGCGTTTGGTGGCAGGGTCATTGAAAATGAACTCTGACATCACAGCACTTCTTCCCCCTCTGCGTATTCTTAAGATTCTTAAGTGTTCCTCGCAACAGACTTAACTAAAGAGGCAGAACAATATGCCAGAATTTATTGGGGAGGAGAATATGCAGGCTGTAAAACACACACGTTAGAGCTTTCAAGCTGTTTTTGTGCAAGGAGAAAAAAAAATCAATTTATGCCCTCATTTCATGGGGAAAAGAGTCTTCCTTTAACAGAAGGTTAATTTTTATGTCATTTAAGTAAATGAAGATGTGAAAAAATGATCTACTTAGACTTCAGTTGGCGATGCACGTGGAGTGGGCAATAAATTAAAGAGGCAGAAGTGAATCCAGATTGATGGAAGTTATGAAGTTCTGGGCAGAGAGTCTAACTAGGAAGCAGGCTTTCTGTACATGGAGGGCAAACTCAGGCTATAGCAATACTTACAATATCCATATACAGCACATTAAAGAGAAGGCAACTAATTCTTTTACCCTCAACCTCAAGCTCTCTGCTTTCTCTTTGCCTCATTTTATGAGCTTCTGGGCTTATACCCAAGAGGCTGAGAACTCTTTGCAAAAAGTAATTAGAGTCGATCCAGTCAACTCCATGAACTACTTAAATTTATTAGGGTTGCCTGTTGATCAGAAGTGACATGTATTTGGGAATCAGAAATGGGCAGTTGCAGGGTAGCAGTCCAAGACATTTAGGAATTCCTGATTAAGTAGACTGTTACTGAATCATATAATTCCCCCCGCCCCCCAAAGGACTGAAATGTAACAGAAAACTATTTTGTGCAAGGAAATAAGTAGCTGTCATTTCTGGAGAGTTTCTACATGTGGATGAGCAGAAAACAAAAAGCCTCCATGTGATGGAAGGGCTGGGGAATTTGGACACTAGATTCCTTCTGTCACAGCAATGTGTGCTGTGGCCAAAGGCGAATGTATTGTACATGACGGCCTTTGGGTAGTTTTTTATTAATATCTTCCAAAATACATTTCAAACGTATCCATTCACTTCCATCTCCATCTTCGCCATCCAAGCCCAAACCACTGTAATTCTTTCTCTTGAAAACCTTCAGCACCTTCCTTAACTAGTCTCCCTCTTTCCACATCATCTCCACAGACTGTCATTCTTCAGTTGCTCAGTTGTGTCCGACTCTGCTACCCCATTTACTGGGCAGCTTATATTGATATAATGACTTTGATAGATAGAAGGCGACCTTTCTGCACTGTATAGGTATGTATTCTGCCTTTTACCTGTCATTGTATTTTGAAGAAAGTCTGAAATGCTTACCACTGACTTCATCTTATACCACTGTCTACCTCACTTAGGTCTTTTCTGTTTCTTGGGCAGGTCAAGATTGGTCCTGTGCCAAAGACTTTGTATCTGCTAAGATACAAGACTTTGTAAAGCCTGCATGGAAGGCTTTTCCCTCAGTTTTTCATAGGTTGGAATCCTTCTCATCCTTCAGGTCTCAACTCAAGCATCATCTCTTCCTGAAGCTCTGCCCTTCTTGACCATCACATTTAAGACGTGCTCATATCTCATCGTTTTTTCCCCCTTCCTCTTGAAATTTACTACAATCTGTGATTATTCTTGTATGCAGTTGACATATTATCTCCACAACTAAATTATCAGTTCCCCAAGGGTCAGGAACTCTCCATCCGATTTATCACATTACCCTCCTGCTCCAGTACCTGGAACTCAATAAATAATCATCAAATAAACACATGAATTCACACACAACACAAACTCTGATTTTGCAAATGTGAACATCTACTCTCCTGCAATATGATCACCCATAGAAAACTGCTTCAGGACCCAGTCTGTTGGAAAGCTTCTTACTAGGTTAATTATATTACCTGTTCAGTGAAAGACTGGCAACTCTCCTACTTAAACACAACATGATTATTTACGGCATTTTTATTATGTTTGGTTGATGGGAGGTGATTTATGTGGTAATCGCCACTCTTCAACGGTTAAGAAGAAGTGGGAGGACTTCAATAAAACTAAGCTCCTAATAGATCCCCATGACCTGTTGGCTGTTTTCAACATTGAATCTTCCTAGTGGAAAGAACATATGGCAAAGTGCCTTGTTTTTTAAATAACTGTACCTTGAAGATCTGCTATCTTTCATCATCTAAAGTCATTTTTTAGGAAACAGAATTGGTCCTGGCATCCTTCTGATACCATTTACTTAGAATGTGTTGTGCATTGAGAAAAATTCACTCAAAATTATGTGATGTGTTTGTGCATAAGGCTCAGGTGCGAGCCTCTTAATAAGTTATAGCCAATGAAAGCATCCCAATTCAATTTTCTGCTTACTGACTGCCACTTTATCAAGTACTAATGCACTAAACTCAGACATTTTCAAGAGGAAGATGTAACCGGGGAAAATCACCATTTTATCATTATATTTATCATCAAACGAATGCGAGCACAATTCAGAAGCTTAGAGAATGTTCTTAACCCAGATTCTATAAAGCCGTTTTCTTTGCACAGACTGAAGTTGAGACTCAATAGTGGTTTTAACATTTCTTTTGATGCACATTTTAAAAGCTAATTGCCAGAAAAAACTGCTTCAAATAAGCTTTCTCAACAAATACCAGCAGTTTTTACCTAACAACTGACTCCACATTATAGCAAGCTTAAAAATGTCTCATGTTTTAAGTCTTGTCCTTCTTTTCAGTTGAAGGGACTAACCTGTACCTTGATGACATTGCATGTAGAATTAATGACATGGCATCATTAATATGATGATATAGCAAGGCAATGGAGGATCATGTGTTCTAAATCTGAAATCTTCACTGAAAAGTCAATTAACTGGCATGAACTTTGAATCATGCATATGAAGGCAGCCTCACCTTTCCCTTTGGCTAGGTTTCTGTTGTATCCAACAGGACTGAAGTATTCAAAGACGAAGACAGCTATGGCAGAGACAATGAGCAGCATCACAAACATCATCACCCAGACGGAGGCGCTGAATGGTTCTGCAGATAAAAGGGGCCAGAGGGATGGAGACATGATCAGTTACGTGACCGGTTACTCCTCCTCACAACCTGGGCAAGCAGGAAGCCTAGAGGTCCATTTTCAGATTCACTGAGAAACCCACTTTGGTATGAATTTCATCTTTCAAAAGAAGCTGTCATTGTGTCCTGTTTGACTCTTGGTGACCCCATGGGCTGTAGCCCACTAGGCTCCATCCATGGGATTCTCCAGGCAAGAATGCTGGAGTGGGTTGTCATTTCCTCCTCCAGGGGATCTTCCCAACCCAGGGATTGAACCTACATCTCCTGCATTGGCAGGCAGATTCTTTACCACTGAGACACCTAGGAAGCACTTGTCATTGCTTATTCATACATTTAAATCATTCTCTACTCTACAAAATACTTGAGATATTTTATAAGACTACATACAATAGGATAAAAATAGAGAAGAGCTTATGACATTTTACAAAACAGGTCAAGGATAATAAAAACAAAACAGAATGATAAAACCAAGGGAGAAAGTTAAAATGCAAACAAAGAGGCCACAGGGTCGTAGGTAATTATGGCATCATCCAGGGAACCAAAGCTAAAGAGAAACAAGACTAGACTCGAATAGTCAACCATAAGGCTTCTGCAAAACCAGCATGAGTTTTATTTTCATTTTTATCTTAACATGCTGGAGGGATGATGTGCGGGGAATCCCAGAAGTAAAAGGAGAATTATAACCTGCAAGAAAAGGTCATAAAGTTATGGGAGTGACAAGAATATTGGAAAGTCATAGTCTGCCCCCTCTGCTATTCCTCTCTTCCTTTTACCTTCTGCTTCAGACAGATGAGATCTCTACAATTCAAAAATCTTGTTGAGGTTGGTAATGGGATTCAGTGCAATTGAAAAGTCATTTGAGGCTATTACAGTCACATGATAATTCAATGAGAACGCATCGCTTAAAGACAGAGGCAATGAGGTAGTAGATGGATGGATGGTTATTTCCCCTAAAAATAGTTTTCATCAATTCATTTTTGTGTGGGTGTCTCAGAAGGATGGGGCGAGACACAGGGTTCTAAATCTCAGATCACATTAGAAAGGTAGGAGATATTATGTAAAATAAATTAATGCTTTTATTAAAGCTGATAGAGGATATGAAACTGAGCTGAATGGAGTCATTTTATCCATGTATGACATAGATTTGCTAGAAAATCAACTGAGAATAACATTTTTTAAATGAACATAGCTCCCACCTGATTGTGGTTGGGAAGAAACTGCCCTTGGACACCAGTGAACTTAGAATTTTTTCATCATGAGCAAATATTTTCAAAGAATAAAATATAAAAAGCACAGCAATACCTCTGGAATAATAGACATTTTATTATTTTTTAATTTTTTTTCTGATGAAGCTAGTAATAATAATAAAGAACTAGGCTGACAGCAGGCCACCTTTTTATTAAAGTCTGTGATTACCTAACACAGGTCATCACAAATTCCAATGTAATGAGCTTATAATATATAATAAAAAGTTAATATGTCTGAAGCCTTGACTATATTGAATAATTTTAAAACCTAAAGGGATAATTTGCAATGCAGTTTGATAATGCAAATACATTAAGAAGCAGTAGGTACAAACACAACTTACTTGACTTAAATATACAAAATGAGCTCAAAGAAATTAATGAGTATAACTGAAATTTATCTTATTCTTAACTTGAGTACAAATAACATCATGTCCCTGAAATCATAGCAATTTGGTAATGAGCTTTATTCAAAAAGGAGGAGACATAAATGAAAAATTAGGAGGTTAAACATTACTTAATATTCAAGAACAGAGATGTTAAAGTAATTCTCCAAGTTGGACGTGCTAATGGCATAGTGCATCTTACCAGAGGAGGATCGCTGTAAGGAGTAAAGGAGCATGTGTGTGCAGTATTTGGTGGTGTGCTTCACACTGTGGATTCTCAGTTGCTTAGCTGTCCCTGACTCTGTGTGACCCCATGGGATGTAGTCCGCCAGGCTCCTCTCTCCATGGGATTTTCCAGGCAAGAATACTGGAGTGGGTAGCCATGCCCTCCCCCAGGGGATCTTCCCGACCCAGGGATCAAACCTGAGTTTTCTGTATTTCAGGAAGATTCTTTACCACTGAACCATCTGGGAAGCCCTTGCACACTGTGTACACATAATAAATTAAATGGAATAGCTGCTTGGTTCCATGGTCTAAGGCAGAATTGATGCGGGCGGGGCGGGGGGGGGGGGGTGCTGTCCAGGGTCCTGAAAAAGGAATACTAGTTTAAAACGGTGTTTATTCGCTACGTCGTCGCACAAAACTCGCTGGAGTGTCTCACAGAACTCAAGAAACCAGTTTACTCAGTATATTTACCCATTAATTACAAGGAATGTTAAAGGGTATGAATCAACAGCCAGATGGAAAAATATACAGGACAAGGCATGGGGAAAGAGCGTGGAGTTTCTATGCCCTCCCCAGGGACACTGCTCTCCCGACACTTTCACATGCTCACCAACCTAGTCGCTGTCCCTTTGGATTTTTATGGGACCTTCATTACAGGGCGTGTGTGTGCTCAGTCACTTAGTTGTGTCTGACTGTGCAACCCCACGACTGTAGCCCACCAGGCTCCTCTGTCCATGGGATTCTCTGGGCAAGAACACTAGACTGGGTTTCCATTTCTTTCTCCAGGGGATCTTCCTGGCCCAGGGATTGAACCTTCATCTCCTGCATTGCAGGCACATTCATTCCCACTGAGCCACCAGGGAAGCTCAGTTTAAAACATGCATACTTACTAATCTGATAACTCCTTTTCTTTGACGGCAATGAGGACACTATTAAGAATATTAGGGGAAAGCCTCCCTGAATTCTTTTCCTCACAGGGCAGAATCTGATAGTCTGCAGTGAACTTCACTGGTCACCTGATACGTCCTACTCACTAACTGTTCAGAAAATCAGATGGAAAATGATCAAACAACTTATCCCAGATGATTTCTCAGTTCGAAGCGATGACATCTGTCACCTGACTAATGAGCACACAGAGAGATTCTGCTGTATAATTCTGGTTTCAGGTACCCATGAATGCCTTGAAGGATGGCTATTTACACACACACACACACACACACACACACACACACACACCACAACAAAGCAAATCATTAGAACAATGGTGGGGCTTCCCAGGTGGCACTAGGGGTAAAGAATCTGCCTGCCAATGCAGGAGATGCAAGGGAAGTGGGTTTGATCCTCAATCCCTGGTGTAGGAAGTGGCAAATCACTCTAGTATTCTTGCCTGGAGAATGCCATGGACAGAGGAGCCTGGCAGGCTACAACCCATGGGGCCACAAAGAGTCGGACACGACTGAGTGGCTAAGCACACCAGTGAGCAGTGGTGAGCCGCCATCTGTCAAATCTCCGATGTGACCCAGAAATATTTCGAGATAGCTCTGCATTACTTTCTCTACTGGCTTAAAACAGATTCAACATCTGTCTGTGAAGGAACTTTAATCCAGAAGAGACTCCGGCTCAGTATGTCTGTGGATCGAAGACGCTAACCTTCTTGGAAAGTCTTTAGAGCTAACTGAATGGAAACACTGCAAGAGATGTCATCTTTGTCCTTGAAGAGTCACTGGTTACATTTTCACACAAAAGCTCAGAGGCATTACCTACAAGTGTTTCCGATGTGAGTTAATGGACTTTGCGGAGGAGAGAGAATAGGAAGTAATGAAGAGCAATGCAATCAGATTGCGAATGTTTGGCTCTTCCAGATGACTGAGCCAGTGAATGGAAAAATGTAGCTTAGCATGGTTCATTATGATTTTCAAAACCTGCAGATAATGACCGTAAATGAGGGGGTGCACGTCAATCGAATAGGGATGCAATTTGGTGACTAGGAAGAATATTAAGCCTACTGTGTAAAAACAGCGTTGAAAACAGATTGCTCTGCTTACAATTTATTTTATCTTTTAAGGTGCAGTAGGAAGAGTGGGGTGGAAAAGAGGTTTAGTTAAGTTGAGCAAAAATACTTGACTTTTACGGAAATGTTCTACTAATGCAGGTAAAGATAAAAATCTAGGGAAACTGGGTGAAGGCCAGATTCAATATCAGTGACCCATATTTACGAGACAAGTTGGTTGATATATTTTTTTTCCTCTTTGATTGAAGTGGATCAAAATTTCTCTGTAGCTCACTAAGGAGATGAGTGGATAGTTTGTGATAAGAAACAGATCTCTTTCCATTTCTTCCATGAACTCCCTTCCTCCAATCCTTTCTTAACCTCTAGGACCAAAGATTTCTGTTAAAGGATCCAATAGGAAATAGTGAGAAAATGATTAGGGGTGACTAATGTGAGAGTACATCTGATAGCTACAAACAGTCTGCTCGTGTTGTCAGAGTCAGTGAGTGGTATTTTTCATGATACAGTGAGGCTCCTTTATTAAGATACGGGCATCATTATACATGGCAGAAACTGAAAAAGTGTTCATCTCTCAGTTGTGTTCAACTCTTTGTGATCCCATGAACTGTAGCCTGCCAGGCGCCTCTGTCCATGGAATTCTCCAGGCAAGAACACTGGAGTGGGTTGCCAATTCCCTTCTCCAAGGACCTTCCCAACCCAGGGATCAAACTCATGCATCCTGCATTGCAGGCAGATTCTTTACTATCTGATCCATATCAGACAAAGGCCCAAAAGGAACCTAATGAGGTGTGTATTTGTCAAGGTCCATGTTATTCCAACAAAGGTTACAAAAACTGATGTGAGTGCAAAATCAAATCCAGTGAGTGGTAAGGATTTCAGCAGCTTAAATGGATTATCAAAAATGAAAACAGTAAATCCGTATGTGTCTGTGAGTCAGGCAGTATCCAAAATCCTGTTAGTCAATATTTCACTCAAGAGAATGAAGCACAGACGCTAACACCACATATCAATACAGACAGTGGAAGGGTAAGATTAGGGGCTTGGGGCTAGTGTGCACAAATTGGTCCTAGTCTGCATTTCAGTTCTCTAATAAAGTTTTTTTTGTTGTTTGTTTTTGGGAAAAAAAGTAAGAAACTCACTTAACCCTAGAAAGTGAAGTTTAAGTGTTAGTGTCCAACTCTTTGTGACCCCATGGACTGTAGCCCACCAGGCTCCTCTGTCCATGGAATTCTCCAGGCAAGAATACTGGAGTGGGTAGCCATGCCTTTCTCCAGAGAATCTTCTTGACCCACGGATCAAACCCGGGTCTCCCGCATTGCAGGCAGATTCTTTACTGGGTGAGTCACGAGGGAAGCCCACTTGACCATAATCTGTTTTCTCTCTCTCATGCAGTTTTCTTCTAGGGGGTCACTGTTTGTCTTAACCTTTCCAAATTTGGAAGGTTATATGGGAATGCCAAGGGGAAGTTAATCTGAACCCTATGATCTTTAAGACAGCCACTCTCAAAACCTGTTTATGATGACAAAACACTCAGCACAATGGTTTCCTTTACAGAAAAATTTTAAAATGCTTGGCTATGTCCCATGTAGTTTCACCTACACCAGCCAGGCTTCCGAATGCATAGGTGCTAAAGAAAACTAGATGATAGAAGAAAACTGGAACTACCTTGGTTTAAAAAGTACAAGCCTTTAATGTAAAAACATAAATTTATGACGTAGTTAAAAAGAGAGTAAGAAGAATTTCCTCCCTTATAAACCATTCAGCTTAAAGGATAGTCACATTTAAAATATGATTCCATTAATTTTAAAATGGTATATCCTCTTCAGACTGCTTCTGTTTTGTTTGTCAGAGTCCTGGTATAAATCACTGCACAGTCATCATTATTTTCACTCTCACATCCAGTAAATAAATGACTGTCATTCTAATGAGGGATGGAGGATGGGTATGTGGCTGCTAAATAAAAGTTTATAGGCTGACTTAAATTAACTGTGGGCCAACAGGTTTATTTTTTAAATGCTTTCAAGGCTCTAAGCAATATATCTCCTAATCTATATTCTACACTATCAAGGGCAGTATCTGAATATGTGATTGTATCTTTAGCGGCTATTTCCAAGTAAAAGATAAATGAAAGATGTTAAAAGGGGGAAAAATTGGGATAATTCAAATGCAAGATGCTTTCAATATGCTCATGTGGTTAAATGGAACTGAACAAGGTCCTAACTGGTCCTGCCATTTGAGCAAACACGACAGAATACCTGTGACTCCTCACAAGAAGGCAAGAGTGACTACGAAGTTCACATACCTAGAAAAGCAGAAGGTGAGACAGTGCCATTACTTCTGGAAACCATGACGCTGATTCCTGTCTCCACGAAGGGCACAGAGAAATCCACCACTTCGGAACGTTCCTCATTGATGGTGAGTGAGCCGACGGCCATGACCGCCCGATGGTAGACCACCTGAACGGAAGGTCAGAGAAAGAACCATCTTTATCTATCCTTCCCACCGTCCCTGAGGGCCCAGCATATGAAAAGATGACGTACCTCCCCAATCATCCCATTCCACACATTGTTCACTTTTTTGCCGTGCTTCCCATTGGTCACCAGGTAAAGGTCATATGTGAACTTCACCGTTCTGGAAAGCTTCTTGAGGATATCGATGCAGAACCCCTTGCAGCATTTTTTAACGTTCATGCCTTCATTGGTTGAATTGCTGTAGAGAAAATCCCAGGACGGTAGAGGATTAGCAGTGGGAAATGTGTTCACGGTCATTATCTACACTGTTCTGCTATTTTTCACATGGGAAATTGAGGCTTAAAATGAGGAAGTGGCTTTTCCAAGGACAAGCAGTAGGTTTATGACAGCAAAAGTAGAAAGTGTTCTTAATGATGATAGTAATTGTGACAACACGTCATGTTTATTGAGTATGTATTGTTTGCTAGGCACTGTGATAAATGCTTTATATTAATTGTTGGATTAATCTTCATGACATTTCTCTTAATTAGGTAGTATTCAGATCCCCATTATACAGATGAGAATTACTACCTCTTATTTTTTAAAGCTTGTAAGACACCAAACCTCTTTAGATCAGTTTAGTCATGTGATCTAAACTGAATTTTTTTTTCATTTATTTTTTCTGGTTGGAGGCTAATTACTTTACAATATTGTAGTGGTTTTTGTCATACATTGACATGAATTAGCCATGGATTTACATGTATTCCCCATCCCGATCCCCCCTCCCACCTCCCTTTCTACCCGATCCCTCTGGGTCTAAAAAGACAGTGGAAAATGGAGGAGAAGAAGATATGAAATTATCAGAGCAAGGTGAGTTTTGCCTTATTCTTTCACTAAAGATAGAGGTTAGCAACCAAAGGGAAGAAAAATGGGTGCCTTACTTCCTTAGGAAAGGCACTTCCCTTGCTGAAGAAAACTAGGAATTCTCAGCTAAGAATCAGGAGACCTGGGATCTACTCTGTGCCTGAGTCTATCAACGTAATGTTTCTTGATTGAGTCATATGTCAAATGAAGGCTCATTCATAACATTTCCCCTACATGGTGGGAAGGGAAACGGTGACACTATTAAATAGCAATGCCCTTGATCAGAAAAAAGCCTTATTAAAATACAGAAGGCATTGCTGTCTTAAAACCTATCAAAACCTACCCAGGTTACACTCGTTGCTTTGTACCAGTCACTGTGCTTTATTTACTTGACCAAGTCATATTCAAAGGACACCAGAAATGCTTTTAAAAGGGGAGGAAACTGAGGTCTTCCTAACTGATAATAAAAACTAGTTAAACAACTCATGTGGGAAGAGCAAGACCTCTCTGGGTAATGCCCTTGGTTCCATCTTGCTCTGGGGCGTTCCATGCTGACACATGCATATCACAGGAAACGTGCTCCCTGAACATTCCGTGCTTGGCACATCTAAGCACTACAATGAACTATTGCTGAAGCACTAAAATGATGTTTACAGAATTCTAACAGCATAATAGGAAAATACTTATGTTTCCATATCACATGATAAAAGTGGTTACACAGTGATAACATACAGAATAGTCAAAGTGATATAAAAACAAATGAGCTTATGATGTAGTTGGATAGAAAAACAATGAAATAAGAAGCAGAGCTATTTTTGAATGGTAAGACATGTCTTTCTTTTCTCATATTTTTAGTTCCCTGCCCCCCAAATTGTCTGGAGTGAGTATATACCATATACATAATTGGCTAACCACACAAACATATTAAGCATCATTGGTATACGTCTATATCCAAGAATATGGATAGATTTGACAATCTAGCTTTGAGTAATGGAAGTGAGTTGCAGAATGAAACCTTTCCCCCTCCAATGTTTTCTTTCTCTCAGGGTCACAAATCACCTATCCTGAATTGCTCTCTTCACCACTGCCCCTTCCGATCCTGTTTTTGAGTTCTGCTCAACCCGCTTGCATCTACCAGCCAGGACCACCACAGAGACCTCACTCTCCAGCCTTGAGGCTGGACAGCCTGCTCAGGCCCTGCTGCCCTCGGCCTGGGGGCTAGGGGAGGCCACACCACATATATTTACAGATGGTTGGGTGACAATTCTGTAGCACAACGGGAAGTAGAGACCTTCCTTCTCCCCACTGATTTCCCAGAGCAGAAAGGGTCAAGCTGGAGTTATGATCGCCATAAATATAGAAGCATGTCCTAAGTACATTCAATTAATGGCATGTCCAAATATGATTTTCTTCTCGGTATCTATGGCTCTTTGAAAAACAGGCCCATATCAAATTCTCTATTTTTCTCTTTGGCCACTATAGGCTGTGCATCAACGCCTCTTTAGTACCTCTTTCCATCTGTATCCCCTTCATTCTCTGCTTCCTCCCTTGTTCTATTGCAGGCTCTTCCTTCACCTGGGACAATCTGGACAGGAGTTAAGGTTTAAGGTTCAAAGTCACAGCTGTATAGTGGCCTCACTGCTTCTTTGACCTCACTGGGAACCTCAGTCAATGTCTAAGCTAATTATTCCCCAAGTTCCCTAACAGTGTATTCTAGATGCCAGTGGTCACTGATGCATTTTCACCCCACAAGCACCCCCTGGGTAGCTACTCTGTGTAAAGACATGGAACGAGATCCTGGGGACGTGGAGTGAAAAAGACAAGCAGAAAGTGCACTAGTTGGATTTAACATGGAAACGATGGAAACGCAGACCACACTGGGGACTTGCGTTGGTTCTATCACAGACCTTGTGTGTATGTGGAGGGGGCGTGACAACGACATAGACATCTGAGAATCTCCATTCTCTGCCATTACCCAGAAGACAGGGGGACTCATCAAAACATATACAGGAAGAGGGATCCAATAAATCATCACTTCTCAGGCTCTACCATTTCCCAGTGTGGCCAGTGGATGTGCCTTGCAAGTCAGGCAGAATTTAAAATCCTGGGTCTGCCCTTAACAAGCATGGAAACTCAGACGGGTCTCTTCATTCACAGACTGCGATTTACATACTCGTACATGGAGAAAGCTGATACCTACCTTGCAGACTAGTTGGAAAAAGTAAATAAAATATCTAAAGTACTTCTCACATAAGTGCTTGAAAATACATTTCCTCTCTTCTCACCAACGATTTGGCAGTTTAGGGGATTAACTGGCAGTATAACCATTTAATAGAAAGATAAATCCATCTGAATGCAGAATTCCAAAGAATAGCAAGGAGAGATAAGAAAGCCTTCCTCAGTGATCAATCCAAAGAAATAGAGGAAAACAATAAAATGGGAAAGACTAGAGAGCTCTTCAAGAAAATTAGAGATATCAAGGGAACATTTCATGCAAAGATGGGCACAATAAAGGACAGAAACAGTATGAACCTAACAGAAACAGGGGATATTAAGAAGAGGTGGCAAGCACACACAGAAGAACTATACAAAGAAGATCTTAATGACCCAGATAACCATGATGGTGTGATCACTCACCTAGAGCCAAACATCCTGGAGTGCAGTCAAGTGGGCCTTAGGAAGCATCACTGTGAACAAAACTAGTGGAGGTGATGGAATTCCAGCTGAGCCATTTCAAATCCTAAAAGATGATGCTGTGAAAGTGCTGCATTCAATATGCCAGCAAATATGGAAAACTCAGCAGTGGCCACAGAACTGGAAAAGACCAGTTTTCATTCTAAACCCAAAGAAGGGCAATGCCAAAGAATCTTCAAACTACCGCACAATTGCACTTATCTCACATGCTAGCACAGTAATGCTCACAATTCTACAACCCAGGCTTCAACAGTATGTGAACCGTGAACTTCTAGATGTTCAAGCTGGATTTAGAAAAGGCAGAGAAACCAGAGATCAAATTGCCAACATATACTGGATCATAGAAAAAGCAAGAGAGTTCCAGAAAAACTTCTGCTTCATTGACAACGCTAAAGCTTTGATTGTGTAGATCACAACAAACTGTGGAAAATTCCGAAAGAGATGGGAATACCAGACCACCTGACCTGATTCCCAAGAAACCTGTATGCAGGTCAAGAGCCAAATATGAAACAATGGACTGGTTCCAAATTGGGAAACGAGTATGTTAAGGCTGTGTATTGTTGCCCTGCTTATTTAACTTATATGCAAAGTACATCATGCGAAATACTGGACTGGATGAAGCACAAGCTGGAATCAAGATTTCTGGGACAAATATCAACCTCAGATATGCAGATGACACCACCCTTATGGCAGAAAGCAAAGAGGAAATAAAGAGCCTCTTGATGAAAGTGAAAGAGGAGAGTGAGAAAGTGGCTTAAAGCTCAACATTCAGAAAACTAAGGTCACGGCATCTGGTCCCCTCACTTCATGGGAAATAGATGGGGAAACAGTGGAAAAAGCGAGAGACTTTATTTTCTTGGGCTTCCAAATCTCTGCAGATGGTGACTGCAGCCATGAAATTAAAAGATGCTTGCTCCTTGGAAGAAAAGCTATGACAAACCTAGACAATATATTAAAAAGCAGAAACATTACTTTGCTGACAAAGGTCTGTCTAGTCAAAGCTACAGTTTTTCCAGTAGTCATGTATGGATATGAGAGTTGGACCATAAAGAAAGCTGAGCGCCAAAGAATTGATGCTTTTGAACAGTGGTGTTGGAGAAGACTCTTGAGAGTCCCCTGGACTGCAAAGAGATCAAAACAGTCCATCCTAAAGGAGATCCATCATGAATATTCATTGGGAGGACTGATGCTGAAGCTGAAGCTCCAATACTGGTCACCCAATGTGAAGAGCTGACTCATTGAAAAAGACCCTGATGCTCGGAAAGTTTGAAGGCAGGAACAGAAGGGGACAACAGAGGATGAGATGGTTGGATGGCATCACCGACTCAACGGACATGAATTTGGGCAAGCTCTGGGAGATGGTGAAGGATAGAAAAGCCTAGCATGCTGCAGTCCATGGTGTTGCGAAGAGTCAGACAAAACTAAGCGACTGAGCAACAACAAACAGCCATTTATCCCTACATATCAAATTAGATAATTGTTCCTCAATTTTCTACTCATGTCTTAACACTTGACTAAAGCAGATTAGAAGAAAAGTCTGGTTTCTCAGCTCATTTCCTACTACCTGATTTTTTAGAAGACTGATCTGTGTCCTCAAGATCCCGCCATTTACCAGAAGTGATTGACAAAGGGCTTTCCCTGAAAGAATATCACCAAGAAAAACGAACACAATCATGTTGTCTAATGGGAGTTCTTAATGGAACCAATCACCTTGCCTCAAAGATGTTCCCTTTAGAAAATGCAGTTGATCTAATCTGCGTTACAGTTGGGATTAATGGATCCTACTTATTTTCTATTGCTTTCAGGTAAATCAAAGACTTTAATTATACCTAGAAGCACAGCAAGCTTCTCATGTCACCAAGTGGGAAAAGAAAAATTGCAAGCCACCACCTTCCACACCACCACAAAATGTGAATTTGAACCAGTTAGTCGGTTTATATTGTTCAGTTGAAAAGTCGATTCTTTTAAAGACAGTAATACATCTGTAGGCTCATTTCCTCCAGATCATGCGTCTCAGGACTTGTTAATCTACTGTTTTCAGCTCCAAGGCTTCTGATTTTAAAGACTTTAAACTACAAAGATTGAGTGTGACGCATAAGAGGCCCTGCCTGATCAGTCTTACTGAAGCAGAGGACATATTGTTATCATGAAGGAGGTGCCCCACTGGGGTTATACTCTTTGCTTTGTGTCAGCTACTCTGCTTGCTTCATCTGGACAAGTTCAAAGACCCAGTTCATCTGATCATCTGCTCAAAGGAACACCCACCAAAGTCAAAACCTCCTTTGTCAACTTTCCCACGTAATCCCTTCTATTGGGTCCATTTGGTTTTTTCCCATGGAAACACTCTAACAAACTTTTTGGTCGATCCAATATCGTTGCCCCCACCTCCTACCCCGAGCTCATCACTTCCAAGTACTGCACTAGGCTTCCTTCTGTTTCACAAACTCACCAACCTCTTTCTTCCCTCAAGGCCTTCTGCACGCATTCCTCCACCTGGGTGGTTCTTCCCTAGTTCATCGCATGCTTGGCTCCTTCTCCTCCCTTCTATGTCACTAAAGGAGCCCCACATGCCCCAAGTTACTCTCTGATGCTGCCACCTTACTCAGATCCTTCACAGGGTTTATCCTAATGTAGAGCTGCTCTGGTTCTTTATTGGCTGCCTTGTTTTTTTTAACACTTGTGCAGGCCTTGACTGCAGGATTCTTCCTTGTTTACTGATGAATCTTCCATGCCCAGCACTGTGACTAACACAGAAACTATGCTTCATGTGTATTTATTTATTGACTAATCTATTCAGAATTTCGACCCCGTAGAGGCTGATGACTCCAAAAAAGGTCGATGATTACTTACTGAATGATCCATTCAGAATTTCAACCCCAGAAAGGTTACTCATTGATAAAAATTGCTTCAAACCAAAATGCACCTTCATCATACATTTAGCAATCATATTTTTAAAAAATTATCTTTATCCAAAGCACTTAGCCATGGGGATTTGCATCCTGTATGATAATAACTGAGGTTGGAATTTGGCAGGTGGGAGGAAAAGTATCCATTCACTCCTCAGTTCAAGCGCCACCAACACTGAGTGTCACACTGCGCTTGTCAGTGAGGGCACAGAGATTAACACGCCACGCTCCCTGTATTTGGACAGCTAATGAGAGTGAAAGTGACAGTTGCTCAGTCATGTCCATCTCTTCTGCGACCCCCATGGACTGTAGCTTCCTCTGTCCATGGGATTCTCCAAGCAAGAATACTGCAGTGGGTTGCCATTCCCTTCTCGAGGGGATCTTCCTGACCCAGAGATCTAACCCAGGTCTCCTGCATTGCAGACAGATTCATTACTGTCCAAGCTACCAGAGAAGCTAATACTCCGGGGAAAATATGGACACACTTTAAGCCACAAAAACAAGTGAGACAGATAAATGAGAGGGCTACAGACTGAATGTTTATGCTCCCCTCAAATTCATATATTGAAACCCTGATCCCTGCTGTGATGCTATCTGGATGTGGGACGTTGGGGAGGTAATTAGGTCATGAGGGTGGAACCCTCATAAATGGAAGCAGTGCCCTGATAAGAAGAAGTGGGTAAGAAGAAGACAGTCATGTGCAAACAAGAGGGTCCCTATCAGACACCAGACCTGCCGGCACCTTGAGTGTGGACTTTCCAGCCTCCAGAACTGTGAGGCTATTATTTAAGCCACCCTCTCGTGGTAATTCATCACAGCAGCCTGAGTGAATTAAGAGACAGAGACAGAGGCAGTACTGTGGAAGTAGGGAGAACTAACCCAACTTGGGGAGGAAGTGCTTAAGCCTTTAAGGACAAGCATGGATTTTCCAGGCGAAAGAAGGCAATCACAAAATGCTCAGAAAAAAATAGATTTCCATCCAATTATAGGCTTTATTCTTTTGTGAATTCCCCACCAGGGTGGTATTTGTGTTTATGTTTGCATTACAAAGACTATAATCAGCGTCTTGGACTTGGCTATGAAACTTTAGCTTCTCCGAAGGGTTTAGAGATTAGGGACAGCCCTTTGCCAGAGGCTCTGATTTAAAAGTTTCTCTTCAATCATAATAAAAGAAGAAACAACTTAGATGTGATGCTGGCTTTGCTGCTGGTGATCAAGGAGACCCCCCAGGAGATCAGCTCCACCTGGTTCACATCAGAAAGTCACTTGGAAGGGAGATGTTGACCCCAAAATGGAGAGAAGTTTTGAAAATACTGAGGAGTGTGGATCTGGAAATTAGGAAAGAGGTGGAAGGTATGGTTTGGGGGAGGGAGCAACCAGAAATGAACAAAAGAAATAATTATTTTAAGAAGGACTGAAGGGGAGGGTTGATTCACCATATGGTTAAGAATATGGTGGTGGAGTCAGATGGCCCAGTGCTTGAGTTCTGGCTCTCTCTTACTAGCTGAGTGGCTCTGAATGTGCTTCTTAGTCTTCCAGTAAACTCAGCTTTTATGGTGTTTAAAATGGGCAAAACCACGCACCCCCTATTACTATTGCTGGAATGAAATAAATGCAAACCAGCTGGTGTAGTTCTAGTCTTTTTAAAAAATCTATTCTTACATATATCTATTATAATAGAGCATATTTTATATTACATTTCATTATTACTTTAGAGATATTGTTCCCTTGGTATCTCAAATTTTCTTGAAGAGATCTCTAGTTTCCCCCATTCCATTGTTTTCCCGTTTCTCTGCACTGTTCACTTACGAAGCCTTTCTTATCTCTCCTTGCTATTCCCAGGGACTCTGTCTTCAGTTCGGGGTATCTTTCCCTTTCTCCCTTGCTTTTGGCTTCTCTTTCTTTCTCAGCTATCTGTGGGGTTGTAAAGAGTCGGACGCAACTTAGCGATGGACCAACAAGAGATACTGTTGTCATCAGCGATGCAGGCTACAGTAAAGGATTGGGCACGTTCAACCCACCGTACCCCCAGACTCACTTGATCTTGACAAACTTCCGGCACGGCACGGTGTTCCTCACACACGTCTCGGTCAGCGGGTCAATGTCTTCCACGATGACGAAGGGGGCCTCCTCGAGGGTGACGATGCTCAGATGGTTGTCGTCCGGCTCACAGTCAGAGAAGGACTTGTACCTGGGCCACACAGCATGCCTCAGGCTCAAGGTCTGGTTCTCCCACTTGCCCACCTGCGGCAAAAAGACAGAGAAACACGTGTGCTTTCCTGCACCACCGGCTTCTTGAAGGAGGAGCCCTCCCCCAGAAGAGGCATGGGAGAAGAAGTCCACCATCCTCGGGGCTTTTCCATTACCTATCTCAACGCACGCATCTGTTATTTGCTAAGAGAGATGGGGATAAAGAGGAAAGCAGCCCCCGTGCCCTGGACTCTCCCCAGACTGAGTAAATACGGGGGTGATAACTAAGCACAGATGCTGTTAGGGCTCCCCAGTGGACCGTAATGTCCCCCCAGTGCTCAGGACCACTGATGTCATGAAAACAGCAAAGGGGGCTTCCCTGGTGGTCCAGTGGTTAAGAATCTGCGTGCCAGTGTGGGAAACACGGATAGGTTCCATCCCTGATCCGGGACGATCCCACATACCGTGGAGCAACTAAGGCCATGCGCCAAAGCTACTGAGTCTGTGCTCTAGGGCCTGGGAGCTGCAGCTACGGAAGCTTGTGCACCGCGGATGCTCAGCAACAAGAGAAGCCACGGCAACGAGAAGCCCGAGCACCGCAACTAGAGAGTAGGCCCCACTTGCTGCACCTAGAGAAAAGCCCACACAGCAGTGAAGACCCAGCATGGCCAAAAATAGCCCCAAAGAAAAAAGAAAACAGCAGGGACTTTTCGAGTTAGAGAGATCTGGACTTAAATCCCCAACTCTTGCCAGTTGCTAGCTGCACAACCCCAGGCAGGCTCTTAATCACGATGAACATCTGTTTTCTCATCTGTAAATAGACACAATTCCACCTACTTTATAAGGATGTCATGGGAATGAAACAAGGCATTTTGAGAAAAGCCTACAGCCCAATGCCCAGCAGGTATTAGGGACTGTGTAAACTCTTCCTGTAAGTATAGAAGAGAGGCAGTGAGAGGGAGAGGAATTTAAAAAGTGCTAAGAAAGAGAGAAAGAGGAACAGGGAGAGGAGGAGGAAGTCCGAGAGCAAAAGGGAGCGAGGTCTGGTAAAAGGATGAGAGCCTCCCTTCAAGCTCGGATGGGGTTCTATTTAAGTTGCAAATTAGGGGAACTTTTATCAATCAGGCACAGAGTGGAGACTTTTGCTGCTTAGCGAACACCAAGACCTGTCAAAACAGAATCGATTGTGTTCCCTCCCTGCAGCAGTTGGCATCTTAGTGAAATCAAATTGAAGGCTGTATGTTTTGAACCTTGATTTTATTTGACAGCTTATTGGCACCCTTCACATACACATGGGGGGAAAGCTGCCCCCACCTTCGCACTTTCTCCTTCCTACTCCTGCTCCCACACGCAACTGTTTGACACCACAGGTCAGCACTTTATTTGTAGCATCAACCTCAAGGAAAAATACCTCGTCTGAAGAGCTAAGTGCTGAGCGTCCGGGCTTGTCTTTGTTGATGTGACCCTCTCACCTCTCCTCCTGTAATGTAAGTGTCATCAGAAATGAATCTCAGACCCTTAAAGAGAATTCAGACATGCTGGACACCAGGAGAGGCGACGGGGCGTCGGGAGAGACGGCAATCAGTCTGTTCTCAGAGATGACTTCAGCATCTGGACTGGAAAATGTTTGCTGCTTGTCGAGAAACGTGCCACGCGGCCAATTACAAAACTGCCCAGCTTCACGAATACCTTCCTTTTTAAGTTACGAAAGGTGGTAGAGTAATTTGGACAAATAAACACGTTCATCACCTCATGCTGTGATGTGTAACACAGGATGGAGAGAAAGTGGAGCCCATCAAATCTGTCATTCATTCAACACAGATTTATTGAACACTGGCTAGGTGCTGGCATGTGCCTGAGAACAATGAGGGATAAAACTGAACGTTTCCTGCCTTCCAAGCCAACAATAATAAACATGCAAATAGACAAAGAGATATTCAGACTCTTCCTTTTGGGATATGTTACATCCATCCCTTTCTTTTCCATCTCTCTTAGAAAACTCAAACATAACCTTTAAGAGACTGGGTGGTTCAGTGGCCAAGACAATGGCTTTTGGAGTCAAATGGAACTAAATGCTGATCCTGGTTTCACCCATTAGCTAAGCAGCCTGGGAAAAGTGGCTTAACCTTTCTGAGCTTCACTTTACCTACAGAATGTGGATGGACACAACATATGCTTTCAGAACTATAGTGAGATTTGAATGAGTCAAAAATATACATGAAGTGCTGAGCACAGAATTTACTTAGCATGGAACATACATGGCAGATACTATTATGTTATTATTGTGGTTGTGCTAAGTTGCTTCTGATGCTTTGTGACCCTGTGGACTATAGGCTTCTCTGTCCATGGGATTCTCCAGGCAAGAATACTGAAGTGGGTTGCCATGCTCTCCTCCAGGGAACCTTTCTGGCCCAGGGATTGAACCCATGTCTCTTATGTCCCCTGCATTGGCAGGCAGGTTCTTTACCTCTAGCACCATCTGGGAAGTTAGCATGTAAGATAGAGCTCAAATATGACTTAATTTGCAAAGGCATTCCTATGTTCCCTGGTAATATAGAACATTGCTCCCAGCTCCCCCATAGCATTTGATGCTATAATTATAACAATGTCACTTCTGAGCACTTCTATGCACTAAGGAAATGTGCCAATTTTACCACTTTGTTTAATCCCCACAAATCCCACATGATAAAGACTATTACTCCAATACCAAAGGTCAGGGAACTAGAGCACAGAGAGGCTGTGCAACCTGCCCAAACGTGCACAGCTTTTTAAGTGGTGGAACCAGAACTATACCATGGAATCATCTGAATCCAAAGGCATTTTCCCACTAGTGCTTCTAGTAATTGATCTGCAGTAATCATGTTATTGCTCCAAGATCCTCTCTTACTTGCAGAGACAACTCCTAAAATCCCAAGGTAACACAAATAGAGGTAAAACCCATTGAGTCAGCAGAATCTTTGGTGACGTCACTGACCATATCACATACTCTACACCGTGGGAGGCAGGCAAAAGTTCCAGCCGAAGGTTGACTCACGGAGAGACAGGCTACAAAGGTTTATGAGTCCCCAGAATGCAGTAACTTCTGAGATCTTCTCTAAGTTCCTCCCTCCCTTCCTAACACTTCCAACTAAGCACCCATGGGTCCACCAAGGAGGGTGGAAATATGCGGTGGGTGGAAAACTTGATCCAGAGCTGAAGCTGCTGTGTCAACACTGCCCTGGATCCTGAGAACTTGCACCTCCTTCTCGGAGTCTGATGATCTCCTGCTCCAAACACCAAAAATCTCAACTCTTAAGATTTTTTCTACCAGATAGGGAAGAAACAGACAACCTTCACTTTCCCCTCCTATATTCCTGTTTACAAAGGGCTGTAACTGAGTCTGGGGTTTGTAGACAGGTTTAAAGAGATTCATTTACTCCGTAAATATTTACTGAGTAGCTTTTAGATGACAAGCACTGTGCGAGGCACCAAGGATACTGTAGTGTAAACAGCAACATTTTTACTTACATTGAATTTCTAGGCTAATTGGAAAGACACACATGAGTCGAATAGTCACACAAGAATATACACACTACAAACTAGGAGGAAAAAAATAAAATATGGGTCTAAGATTGGAAAGGGGGAGAAGGAAATCCCAGAAGACTTCCCCAAGGAGGTGGCACTTAAACTGAGATTGGAAATCCAAGATGAAAGGATGAAGGGATGGAGGAGGGTCACTCCAGGCAGGCAGGGGCCAGATGATGTGAAGCCCTGTAGGTCCTATTAAGGAGCTGAGATTTACCCTGAGAGTTAATCTAGTCTGTTCTCTGGAACAGAGAAAGAAATGCAGAAATCATGATGAATATGTGTCCATACATAATCTGCCTAAAAGTGGAAGCTTTTTACTTCCTCCATTCATTTTTTTTTCTTTTTTTATGATGGAAAAATTTTAACTCATACAAAAGTAAAATAGTAGAATGGATCTCCATCTTCCCGTTATCTAGCTTCATTCATGACCAGCTCACAGCCAATCTTGTCTCATTTATACTCCCAACCACTCCTCCGATATAATACTGAAGGAAATCCCAGACATCATAACATTTCATTTACAAATCCTTAATTTGATTGAAGCATCTAATTTCTATTTGCCTAACAATATTATACCTTTACAATCTATATGTTTGTGTCTATGTTTCATTGGGCTGGCCAAAAGGTTCATTCCAGTATCTCCATAAGAAGGTATAAAAAACTAAGAAACGTTTTGGCCAACCCAATATATTATATATATAGACATATAGACATATATTATATATATATATATATATATATGCATATATAGACATATGCATATTAATTGGTTTTTATGTCTACAGCTTCTAACTCAGGGCCTGGCACAAAGGAGGACTTAAGTGATAGTTGTTGAAGGAATGAATGAACATACCACACTTGGCAGAGTCTGTAACATTAGATCACAGTAGTTTGTATCGGTTAATATCAAACTCCTAATTTCTTCCCTTTCCTTTTTGGTAAATTTGTTTCCTATGTCTGTGAGTCTATTTCTGCTTTGTAAATGAGTTCATTAGTATCATTTTCTTTTTAGATTGCACATATGAGTGATATGGTGTTTGTCTTTCTCCGATTTACTTCACTTAGTATGATAATATCTAGGTCCAGAGATTAATAAGCTCTATTCTTAGCACTTGGGGCTTCTCTGGTGGCCCAGACAGTAAAGAAAATGCCTGCAATGCGGGGGATCTGGGTTCAAGCCCTGGCTTGGGAAAATCCCCTGGAGAAGGGAACGGCTACCCATTCCAGTATTCTTACCTGGAGAATTCCATGGACAAAGGAGCCTGGTGGGTTACAACCCATGGGGTCGCAGAGTCAATCATGACTGAGAGACTAACACTTTCACTTTTTCACTTTTCATTCTTAGCACTGTTTTAATTCTTGTAAACACCATATACACAAGAAAAAGGTGTGGCCAGATGATTTTTATCTCTAGCATGAATTTTTTTTTCTGTACTTGAAAACAGTCCCAAATTCACCCAAATAGGTTGTGTGGGAGAAGAAAAAAA